ATGTGGGCAAGGAGGAGTTGGGAAGGGACCCGGGGACAAGGGAGGATTTGGGGGGGGACGTGGGGGACAAGAGGATGCGGGGATGGAGGGGGACTAGGGGCAGTGGGCAGACGTGGGGACAAGGACTGGGGAGGACACGGCACAGAGGAGGAGAAGGGGGATGTGGAGGGGGATGGGGCTGAGGGCCACCATGGCACCGAGCCCCGCTGTGTCCCCAGATACCGGTGGAGGACCCCATCGTGTCCACGGACGAGGTCATCTTCCCTTTGACCATCTCCCTCGACAAGCTGCCGCCTGGTACCGTCAAGGCCAAGGTGAGGCTGAAGGGGGCTGGGAGGGGACCTTGGGGACAGCGTGGGGATTTTGTGGACAGCATGGGGACCTCAAGGGCAGGAGGGGACTTTGGGGACAATATGCAATCATGAGGGACAGAATTTTGCGGACAGTGTGGGACCGCAGACCTGGCACAGAGATCTAGCCCTGGTCCTCCTTTCTGGGTCCATCAAGGGCAAGGTAGAATTTGGGGACAGGAAGGGGCCTTGATCACAGTGTGGGACAGCGTAGTGACTCGGGATGGGGAGCAGGATCCAGCCCTGCTCCCCTCTCTCCGGGTCCACGAAAGCCGCTTGGGGTAGGTGCAGGGGACAGGAGGAGTCACAGAGACAGGCAGGGAGCTCAGGGCTGGACCTGGGCCAGCTGTGACCTGTATCCCCACTGTCCCCAGATTGTGGTGACAGTGTGGAAAAGGGACACGGAACCGCCCGAGCTGCAGGAGGGTGGCGGGTATCTAAGCCTGCTGCAGACACGGGCGCCGGCACACGTCTTCCGCCAGGAGCAGGGGGCCTTCAAGGCGCAAGGTAGGAGTGTCCCTGTGTCCCCTCTCCCTCCCTGTGTCCCCACATCCCATGTCCCCTGACCGCTTGTGTCCCCGCAGTGAGCACCCTGCTGACAGTGCTACCCCCACCCGTGGTGCGATGCCGCCAGCTCACTGTGTCCGGGAAGTACCTCACCGTGCTCAAAGGTGAGAGGGACGGGGTCCCAGGGTGGCTGGGACAGGGGTGGCTGCGACAAAGCGGGGATGCAGGGCAGGGGAGGATGTGACATGGGCTGGTCGGGGCCACAGCGGTGTCCCCTGCGCTGTCCCCTGATGTCCTTGTCCCCCAGTGCTCAATGGCTGGTCCCAGGAGGAGATCTCACTGTGGGATGTGCAGATCCTGCCCAACTTCAATGCCAGCTACCTGCCTGTCATGCCTGATGGCTCTGTGCTGCTGGTTGATGACGTGTGGTGAGTGCTGGGACAGCCCGGGCACCGTCCCTGGGGCGGGAGGGGGGTCACTGCCGAGCTGTCTCCCAGACCCTACGGGGCTCCCAGGTTTCCTCAGGATGTGCCGTGCCGTCTCCCTGGCCCCATCCTGCGGAAGCTCTGGGGGGCACTGCCAGCCCTGGGCTGGCAGCACGAGTCCCCGCGTGTCACTGAGCTGTCCCTGTACCCTGTCCTGCAGCCACCACTCAGGCGAGGTGCCTGTGGGTGCCTTCTGCCGTGTGGCCGGTGCCGGCTTGGCCTGTCCCTGTGCCCTCAGCGCCCTCGAGGAGCACAACTTCCTCTTCCAGCTCCAGGCACCTGAGAGACCCCCCGAGGATGCCAAGGAGGTGAGGGGACACTGGGGGGAACCCTCAGGGCTGGGGGGCAGTAGGGGTGACTGCCCTGAGGCCAGGCACAAGGGGACACTGGGGGACATCCTGGGCCGGGACTGTCCTAGTTGGGAGATGTTGTCTGGGCCAGGATCAGGGGCCACCATCCTGGTCAGTGGCTTGGGGGACACTGTCCTTGTCCCGTGGTCCTTGTCCTCCCCTGGGGGCAGCGGAGACCACCCTGGCTGGGATGTGGGGCCACCATCCTCGCTGTGGGGGCCCATCCTTGTTGGCCTCTGTCATGTTTGCCCTTGCCGGGGAGCCTAGGGGGACGTGGGGGTGTTGGAGACCTCCTTGCTGGGAGCTGTGGTGACAGAGACATCTCTGACCCATTGTCCCCCCACCCAGGGCTTGGAGGTCCCACTGGTGGCCGTGATCCAGTGGTCAACGCCAAAACTGCCCTTCACCAGCAGCATCTACACGCATTACCGGTGAGAGCCACCCCGAGGGTCCTTGATGTGCCCTGTCCTCAGGTGGGGAGGGACCCCCAGATCCTGCTGCCCGAGGAGGAGGCGGGACCCAGAGATATGTCTGCCTGTTTGTGCCATTAACCTCATGTCCTGGGGCTGCCACATGGCTGCCTCCATGTCCCTGTCCCCATGGGTTCCGCGGGGCTGTCCCACGCTGCTAATCCCACGTCCCCATGTCTCCCAGTGGCCATCCCCATGTCAGTACCCCCCTGCCATCCCCAGG